GACAGTGTGATTGGCACAGGACAGAGCAGAATTTAGGGCTGTTGTACATAGGGTCGCTATGAGTCGCAAGCGACTCGACGGCACATAACAACAACAACAACATTTACAATTTCATTCAATCATTCACCACATTTTTATAACATTAATTACACTGTTGTTGTTGTTATGTACCATCTAGTTGGAACTGACACATAGATGACCCTCCAGCAGGTTTTCAGAGGCAGTAAATCACATGGGAGGAGACTGCCTACCTTTTTTCTGATGATTAGCTGTTGGATTTGAACAACATGCTGCTTTGGGTTGGTAGCACAAGCCCTTGACACTAAGTCATTAGTGTTCCCTATAAATTACATTAGATTAATAGAATTAATTACAATGTCTGACTCCTTATTGTCTATTGCCTTTCCCTTCACTCAACTTATCTATTTCTACTCCCCTCTCCCACACTTCCCATCACCGTTAACTACCCAAGACTGGGTCCATAGATACATAAACTTTTCCTTAGCTTTTTATAATAGTGGTCTTATATCCCAATGGAGCTCTTATGGCCTAGTAGCAAGCAGCTGCACTACAATCCCAAAGGCATACAATTCGAATCCACCAGCTACTCTGCAGGAGAAAGATGGTCAATCTCCTCCAGTGCAATTAACTGCCTCTGAAAACCCATCAGAGGGTCAGCCAGTTCCAGCTCGATGGTACACAACAAGAACAACAACATTAACAGTTCTTTTGTGGCTGACTTATTTTGTTTAGCATAATGCCCCCTAGATGCATGCATGTTACGCAGAGTTAAATGAACTGTTGGTTTTTTAGTGCGACAATGAGCAAGGAGGATAAAAGGAGAATTGATGCCTTTGAGCTGTGGTGCTGGAGAAGAGTATTGAGAGTACCATGGACTGCTAGGAAAACAAACAGATTTGTCCTGAAAGGGTTAAACCGGGTGGCTCCTTGGAGGCAAGGATTCTGAGGCTCCGTCTAACATACTTTGGACACGTTGTGAGGAGAGACCGGTCCTTAGAGAGGGACATCATGTTTGGGAGTGTGGAGGGACAGCGCAGGAGAGGAAGGCCCTCTATGAGGTGGATTGATTCAGTGACTGGGGTAATCGGGATGGGAGTGTCAGAGGCAGTGCGATTGGCACAGGACAGAGCGGAGTTTAGGGCTGTTGTACATAGGGTCGCTATGAGTTGCAAGCGACTCGATGGCACATAACAACAACAACAAGTTCTCCATTGTGTGAATATACCATTTTTTAAAATCTATTAGTCTGTGATGGACATTTGAATTGTTTCTATCTCTTGGCTATTCTAAATCATGCAGCCATGAACATGGATGTGCACCAAGGTTGTAAATCTTAAAGGGAGGAGATTGCCCAACTTCCTCCAGCGAAGCAGCTGGTAGATTTGAACTGCTGATCATTTGGTTGTGCACTATGCTACCAGAGTTCCTTTAAGTTGCCTCAAAAACTCATTGAATCAATGGAATTCCAAAAATCTCTGTAGATGTTCATTGAAATAAAAATAAATAAATAAATAATAAAAAAAAATTTTTTTAAAAAAACCAACCCAATACAAAACCTCACTGTTTGATCTCATGGGGTAGAGAGGGCTCCTGTGGGGCCGGAAGGGCACAGTATTTCTTGTAATTACTTTTGTTTTACTCTTTCTGATCTCCCAGACTTTTTCAAATGGAAAAGCCAGCCCCCACAAGCTGTTTTTGATGCTCTGTGGTTCTTGTGTGTCTGCCACACTGTGCGAATGGAGACTCATTTCAAAAGAAACACATCGAAAAAACCTACATTAAAAGAGTTCTAAAGCCCTCGCCGCTCCCCAACAAAAGTCACTACATAAACTGTTGAACAGTATTCACGTATTAGAGTATTTGCTGTGACTGCAAATTATCAACTGAAAACACAACTCTTGTATTCTTAATTGTACCATTTTTCAATGTCCATCTCTTTTATTTTTTAAAATGTGTGTGTGTGTGTGTGTGTGTGTGTGTGCCATCAAATCAGATCTGACTGGTACAGGAAGAGATTGTCCCTCCTTTCCCAGCAGAACATCTGGTGGATTCGAACCCTGAGCCTCTGGGATTGCAGTGCAGCTTCTTGCCACTAGGCCACCAGAGTTCCCCTCAATGCCCATCTCTTATAGAGACAGTGTGCTCTCCCTTCCCCAGTCCCACCTTTCCCCCACCCCAGGGTGTCTCCTTCCTTTCCATTCTCTTGGCCAGAAGTTACCAGACTATACTGTCTCTTTAAAAATAATTAATAATTAAAAACCCCAAAAAGCAAACAAACAAACAAACAAAACCCCTCACTGTTGCCAGGTAGGTTCTAACTCATAGTGACCCTCCACTGAATGTCTGACGCTGTAAACTATAATCATTGTAGGAGACTGTCCATCTTTCTCCTTTGAAATTGCTAGTGGATTTGATCTCCTGGAGACACACAGCCCTTTGGGTTAGCAAATTCCTGGCTTTCAAATTTCCCAGTGGTTTTCTCTTGTTCCAAAGACCAAGTTCAAGCTAGTTTGCCCTTCATGACAGAGTAACTCGGTCCTGACCCCTCATTTTGCCTTTGCCATATGCTTATGTGTATTCTGGTCCGAGGTGAAGCCTTTCCCGACTCCGTCTGACCCTGGTCCCATTGGATTCAATACTCACACGCACCTTGGTCTTGCCCTGAAGGCTCTTGATGGCAGCCTCCGCGCAGAGGTAGAAGGCCCCCATACACTGCGCCTCTAAACGCGAGGAGTCGAGCAGCGGCACGAGGCGCTGCAGGTCGTCAGGCCCGCGGCCCTGGCTTGTGTCGCTGGCGTCCACGAGGCAGCGGGCGAAGCGACCAGGGTCCAGCGAAGCCACGAGCGGCTCCACGAGTGCCAGCGTGCCAGAGCGCTCCACCTCGCGCTCCACCTCCTTGTTGGTGGCCAGCACCGCCACCGCGAGGCAGGCGTGCAGCCGCAGCAGCTCGTCCTCCTTGGAGAAGGCGAGCGGGAAGAGCCACTCCGCGGCGCGCTTCTCCACCATGCGCCTCTGCGCCGCCGCGCCCCCATGCAGCGCGCAGTTGGCCAGCGCCAGCGCGCAGTGCCGCAGTAGTGGCGGGTCAGTGCGGCGGCACCAGAACAGTATGGCATCCAGGCCGCCAGCAGCCACCAGCCGCTGGCACGTCTCCTCAGAGTGCTTGAACATGTGCTCCAAGATGCCTGCCACGCTGCGCGCCAGCTCCACCGGCTCGCGCTCCTTCGCCAGGTTCAGGATCACGCCCAGCCCGATGCGAGCCACACGATCGCTGTCAAGAGAAAGGTGGGGGAGAAGGAAAGGTGCAGCCTGGCCACGGTCTGGGGAGTTCAACAGGCTACCCACCGCCCCCAAACCACCGGGAGCGGCATAACCTGGTCAGTTACCTTCTCTGAGCCTCACTAGTGACATAAAAAGATTGGTTACACCCTCGCCTCCGCCCTCCTGGAATATCAGGCTCCTCTGATTATACCCGAGCTCTATCCCAGTCACGCCCATCTCGTCTCTTCCTTTTCCCTGGACAGCAATGTGTGCAGTGGTTAAGAGCAGACAGAGGAATACCGAGTTACTGGGTTTTTCTTTGCAACTTTCTAGCTGTGGGCTTTGGGTCCCTTTCTTTATCTCTGTACCTCATTTTACCAAGAATACCTATGTCATTGATTAGGTTATATGAGTACCGATGAGGTAATCCAAGCAAAGTGCTAGGCATAGTAAAGATTCTATGAATGTTAATTCCTTAACATCACTGGAAGTAGGGGCTATGCATTCATTAGACAGATGTTTATTGAAGGCCTACTATGTGCTAGGCACTGCATTAGTGACTAGGGTTCAGCAATGACTAAAACTGCCTGGGACTTCTTACAGTCAATTTATGTGGAAATGCATATTGTACTGGGAAAGTCTGTAGTCAGGGACCTCTCCAAATTATTGAGGAACAATGATGTCAGTTTGAGGACTAAGATGTGTCTGATTCGGAGCATAGTCTTTCCAATCACTTGTTATGCATCTAAGAGCTGGACAATGAATAAGGATGACAGAAGAGAAATTGATGCCTTTGAACTGTGGTATTGGAAAAGAGCACTGAACATCCCCTGGACTGCCAAAAGAACAAATATGGCTTGGAGAAAGTGCAACCAGAGTGCTCCTTGGAGGCAAAGATGATTAAGCTTTACCTCACATACTTCGGGCATGTTGCTAGGAGAGGCTATTCCTTGGAGAAGGACATCAGGCTTTGAAAGGCATAGGGTCACTGAAGGAGAGGAAGACCCTCAACCAGGTGGATTGACATGGTGATTGCTGCAATGGGTTCCAGAGTGTCAGGAAGTGTGAGGATGGCACAGGATAGGACAGGGTTCAGATCTGTTGTTCATAGGGTCATTATGTGTCAGACTCAACTCGATGGAACCTAACAACAACATGTGGAAATAGACCATAAACAAATAAACAGAGAATAAACAAGATAATAGTGATATGATCACGGTGATGGCAAAGTGCTGTGATGTAATAGAATATCTGGGTGGAGGGATGTATCTGAGAGTATCTGAGAATTAACTGTCAAGTATCATTCCTGCAAGTATCCAAGAGTAAACTATGACAGGCAGAGAGAACAGTCAGGCCAAGGGCTGTGTGGCATGAGCTGACGAGTTTGGTATGTTTGAGGAACAGGGAAATAAGCCAAAGATATTTGGAATATTTAGGACCAATGAAGAAAACAATAAAATCAACAAAAGGTTACTATATGGACTATGTAAATATTAAAATTACCATAAACAAAGGTAGTAAATACAAGAAGAAATGGATAAAGGGCATAAATAAGCAGTTTACAAATGGGGAAATGTGAAATGTTAACAAGCAAATAAAGAGATGCTCTAACTCACTAGTAACAGGAATGAAAATTAAAATAACAGCTTTTACTTTACATATAATACAGTGGCACACTTTAGAAGCTGGATCATGGCAAGCTCTGGTGGCCTAGTGGCAGGAAACTGCACTGCAATCCCAGAGGTACGCGGTTCAAATCCACCAGATGCTCTGCTGAAGAAGGAGGAACAATCACCTCCTGTACCAGTCAGATCCAATTTGACGATATACACATAAAAGAAATGAATTTTTAAAAAAAAGAAGCTGGATCATTTGAAGGGTTAGGGAAGCCTAGGGGTGGAGGGGAAGCCTGCGGCAGCTGATCTAAAAAAGAGGCTGAGAACAGTTGGTACTCTTCTCTTCTCTTCTCTCCTCT